ATATTTACATTTTTTATACCAAAATTATAAAAAATATAATAAATATAAAAGGCAGGCAGTATATTGCATGAAAGAGAAAAAAACAAGCAATTTTTTGTAGCCACAGCCTGCTTCGATGACAATTTTTTTTGCCCGCGTAGAGGGCGCAGCAAATTACATACGCTATTTTAAAAATCTGTTAGGTTAGGCCTGTCTAGGTGAAAGATATTAATTTTGTCATAAAATTTTATTAAAATAAGTTTTCTCTATCTCTTAAAATAAAAAAGTTAGACGACACTAAACTTTCGGTACTTTTCCGATTTTTTTGATACTCACAAAGTTGGCCATGGATCACAAAGAGTGACCGCAAAATTCGCTTGTTTTTGTGACTTTGACAGAGGCGGCAGGAAAAATCCTAAAAATATTCTAAAAATATCCAAAAACTCGTCATGAAAAATGAAAATGAGCATCACTTTCAGTTTTTCGAAAATTTTCGAAAATCCCCCTTATTTAGGGGTTAAAAAGACAAAAACAACAACAAATTAAGAACAAATTAAGAATCATCAACAGTTGTAAAACTCCAAATATTTCTATGTTGTTATAAAAATAATATTATAAACGTGAAAATATCTAATTTCGTATTTGATACGGTCTTGTCCAGATTGAAAATCAACCTTTAGTATCCCTAAAGGTGTGAAATCATCCCCTAAACGCCTAAAAATGCAAAAAATATATTAAGAGTTGCAATTTTTTTCTTTTTCATTTATACGTGATAATTGAACCGTTAATAACCCACAATCACTAGATCCGAAGGAAAATACTTCTAAATGAGGGTAAAACTACCCCTAAGTTCAACCATCGGCTGCAAAGTGCATAAAATAACACACACACAAGTGGTTTACCCTACTTTGGGGGTGTTTTCCATCTGATGTGACAATTAGAAGTTATTCTCGTATCAAACATCAAGTATAATAAAAAAATATATGTTTTATTTTTTTCACATTATTTAAAATTTTTGCATATTTGGGGGATGATTTTACCCCTTGAGAGGGATGATTATTTTTGAAAATGATTGATAATGTTGAGTATGGGAGTACTTGTGTATAAATTATTCTAATGAATGTATTTCGAAACATTATTTTTTTCATGCATTATAATTATTTTATGTACTTTGATAGTTGAACTTAGGGGTGGCTTTACCCTCATTTAGGGGTATTTTCCTTCGGATCTAGTGATTGTGGGTTATTAACGGTTCAATTATCACGTATAAAATAAAAAGAAAAAAAATTGTAACTTTTAATATATTTTTTGCATTTTTAGGCGTTTAGGGGATGATTTCACCCCTTTAGGGATATTATGGGTTGATTTTCAATCCGAACAAGACCGTATCAAATACGAAATTAGATATTTTCACGTTCATAATATTATTTTGATAACAACATAGAAATATTTGGGTTTTTACAACTGTTGATGAGTCTTAATTTGTTCACTTGTTTTGTCTTTTCAACCCCTAATAAGGGTGATTTTCGAAAATTTTCGAAAAACTGAAAGTGATGCTCATTTTCATTTTTCATGACGAGTATTTGGATGTTTTTAGAATAGAATTTTCCCTGTCGCCTCTGTCAAAGTCTCAAAAACAGGCGGAAAAATGCAATAAAAAACATATAAAATTTTTTTACGTACGTTGTATATTAAGCGAGATTCGTAGGAGTGGCCCTCTTATAGTAGACAATACAAAGGGATATCCTAGAAATCTTTACGAAATATTTTCTCTTCACTTTCGAAAAATGTTGCGAGCTTACACAACCAGATGTGTGAAGAATAGAGACTGTTTTATATAGAATGCGGGTTTTTATTTTTACCTTTGGTTGTTTAAAAGCGACTACGCCCATGTTAAATAGTAGGGAAAATTAAAAATAAACCCGCTCTTTTCGCGAAGTCCCAAACGGCTCATAACCAAAACATCGGGTAATAAATGTATTTTCGTCCGTCTTACCTTTATCGCCATCCATCAAAACAAGCAACATCAATTTACAGTCAAATCACCTCTTGTAAAAACCAAAACCGAATAAGATTTTTGCATTATCTAATTAGGGCCATTAATAATACTTGATTATTTTGTATAATTTATGCGGACTTCATTCTCTCATGTTGATAAATCATTAATTAAATTAGGACGAAAAACGTAGATGTTTTATCCCACGCAAAATCTGATGCTAATCTTATTATTTACATACAAATATCTGCACAGGGTCGCACTGGACATCATATACTTTATATTTATTATCAAACAAATTCCTCAAAACTATACCTGTATACCAGACAGAATATAATAATATACAATAGATTAAAGCACAGTTAGGATATCATGATCTTATATTTGTCTCTATAAATATTTTGGATAAGGTATTATTTTCATTTTACCAGTCTATTTAATATATTAAATTTAATTTTAGAGAAACGATACTTTGCTGTTAAGTCCGACCCTGTAATAATCCAATATAATTTAGCTATTTGGATCAAGTTTTTGAAGTAACAACTAAACCACGAGAAGTTCAATAATCTTAACAATATATTCCTTCACTTCTAGTTTTGGCAATGTCAAGGAGAGCGGAAACAGTTAAACCATATATTAAATTCACATGGGTTGTAATTGATTCTATTCAGTAAAAGGTATATATTGATGACTAAAATTAAAATAATCTGCTTAAAAACTGGATTTTTAATTGAGAGATTAAAATGAAACCGTAAATATTAAATTTGCAGCATTATAATGAATTATAAGCGTCTGTAAAAAATTCTTGGTTGGTTTGGGACATAAAAAATAGAATTTCCATGGAAATACCAATACACTACTCGGCCAATATCAGAAAATTGCTTTAAGTTGGTTCAACAAGTTTATGTCAAGAGAAACATAATTTTAAACTGTTTATTATCACGTTTTTGTTTGTTCTGTCTAGTGAAAAACATTTTAAACGCATATTGGAAATATTTACTGTACAATTTAGTTGGCAAAAATAAACTGAATCCACCTCGTTTTTAGGTACACACAGGGTGATAAAATATTATTAAGTATTATTTTTTAGTTTTATCATTCATTTTATGTGTTTTTCAAGATTATTCATTTATATTAAGTTACTTTTCTTTGGAACCATAAATTCTCTAGATCTTTTTCGATGTTGTAACAGAGGTTTTACATTTTGATCTTGTACCTACTATTTTTTGTATGTGAAAAGGAAATAGAATACATATTTCTTACAGTATTTTTGTTCTTTTATTGTTAAAATATAGGGAGATATAGATAGATAGCAATGTATAAAATTTTCTCGCTTCGTGTTTGTATCTACGCATATTTTAAAGTTAGTTGAAAAAAGTAGAGAGAAAATAGTAACAATTCGGTAGTGTTGAAATTGCAGAATATACATGGTGAAATACACAAAGCAAAAATGAGCAAAATTTCGTATTTTTCTCGCACATTCGATTTAATTGCATAATAAAACTGCACTTTCTTTATGTTTTGCAGTTTTTCAAAGGAATTTTATACACAAATAAAAGTCTAAGCAAGATTGATATGCATAGTAGAAAAATAATAACATTTTGAACATAAAAGTAAGTAAACGATGTTTAGCATTCTTACATTACAGTACAAATAAATAATCAAATAACAGGAAATTTTGAATGCATAAGTTGCGAGTAAAAATACAAAAGTTTTTCGATAAGAAAATATGTTGTTGGAAAGAAAAATTGACGGTTTTAATTACAATCTGATGGCGAGCGCTTCAAAAATTTTCTGTTACTATTATTCTTTTCATAAAATATATACTATAATGTTAAACTATATTTAAAAATTGTTCTATGTTATACAGAGTGTTTATTAAGTATGTACAATAAATTCAACAGACGATTATTTGAGTGATTTTAAGACAAAAAGTTCATATAAACATTGGTCCGCAGATGCTTCGTTTTTGAAGATACAGGGTGTTAAACTTTTGTAAAAAAATTGTTATTTCGTAAATAAAAATCTTAAATACCTTGATTAGATTTATTAATTCCAGTGGCGTCCCGAGCGGTACCTCAACGAATATTTTTAACAAAAAAAATGTACTGACTCTTTTGTAATTTTCATATATTTTTCGAATTAAGCAACTAAAAATACAATTTTTTTGTCTCTTGAATGTTTTTTCGTATCTTGATTAATTTTTGTAGAAAAAAATAAAATCCACTTAATTGCATATCCCTAGACCACACAAGAAACATGGGGAAAAGTTTCTTTTGGAAATTATAATTTTTTATAATTTTGTATTAATAACACGTAACATCTAAATAACATAAAGTACAAATAACACTGCCAAATTACAACAAAATTTGGTAAAAGATATTTAAGATATTTACAAAATAGCAATTTTTTATAAAAGTTTAACATGCTGTATCTTGAAAACGAAGCATCTGCGGGCCAATGTTTGTATGAACTTTTTGTCTTAAAATCACTCAAATAATCATGTGTTAAATTTATTGTACTTACTTAATTAACACCATGTATTTCTACCTTATTCAATTTTTAGGTACTAGGACGTAAAATTTAATACTTTCTTCACTGATGTGTGAAAGAGAATGTTTATAATTTAATTGATGTATGCAACTCGTGTACGAAGCACCTTTTTTCACTCATGGAGTAAAATTCTCACTCGTGAAAAAAGTGTTGCTTAACTAACAATTTTTTGCGTAGCACTTTGTTGCGTTAGCAGTCAGTGGGTCCTGTTATTGTTGTTTACCCATCAATTTCTTTATTTGCCCGTTTTAAATTCCTCGGCGAAGTACTGAAATGAACCCAGCAAGTCGACGTAATTACAAGAACAAACAAGCAAATTACACATATCTGGTTTATGATCCTCCGGAATAACATTCTTTGGTAACTTCTTGCAAATTGATTCCTGCGTATAGCTGGAGAGGGGGAAGATGCATGGTCCGAGTTTATAAGAGCAACTTTATAAAATACAGACATTGCGATACGGCTACCCGGAGTACTATTGTGTTTTGCGGGACGTTTAACCATGGGGTTAACGCTACATCTCAGTTTGTGTTTATTAGTGATCGCAACTACCCTTGCAGATGACCCTAGGGATGATGATCCTCAGTCCGTAACCATAGAAGCAGGTAAGACATATTCTCGCGCAAGATAAAGAGAAGCTTCAAGTGAGAACATTTTTTCGATTTAAATACTGATGATGTACCTAACGCATTTATATGTTTAAGACATGGTAAATTTGCCTTTTCGTGGCATGCCGTGATTTTTAATAAATCTATCGGTAACGGTAGTGGCAGTTGTGCCCACATTTCGTAGGTATTTTTGGGTGGGTATGGTTGCAATAATTTACGGCAAAAAAATAACAAACATTACACACTAAACCTCTTTTACTGGTGAAGTCCCTAATTAATATTCCGCCTATGCCCATTGTAAATAATAATATGATTCACGCGATTTTCAAGGGATATACTAGGTGTTCTGTCTCAACTTAGCACCTGTGAGGTGTTGAGTAGTCACTGCCAAGGTCGACTAGAACATTCACCTTTGCGAAGTGTATTGATGTACATTCGTCCTTATCATATGGAATGGTCGTGTTAAATTTTGAAAGGCGGAATGTCATTAAATTTATTACGAAATGAAGTTCAACAATCTAGTCTGCTGCGTAGGTGGCACTTGTCAACCATTGTCATAGAGTAGGTGATTTCTGAAAATTATTGCTTTTTTTATAAGCCGGGATGACGATGCTTGCTTCTAGAAGAAACTAAGACATGCAAAGATTCAATTCAGTTTTTTTGAATAATTTGAACTGAAGCGAAATATTTTATTATTTAAAATGTGTCTTCTTTTTAACAAATAACAGAGATGATATACCGAAAGAGAATTAATTGAATGTGGACTAAATTCTATAATCAGGTATAAAAAAATTTAGTAGGTACGTCTTTATTTTGTTTTTGAGATGTGAAAGAACTAAAGTTTTGACTCACAATTTTTAATAGATTTTTTTTCCTATTTCTCTTCTGTTCTTTTGCAATTTGCTAGAATTTATATTTGATTATAAAACAGGATTTTCAAACAAAACATAAATGCTGTCTCTTTCTGGATTGTATCCAATATTTAAGGTTCTGATAAAGTGTTATTTTTTATTTTGTCCTTTTATCACTATTTTTAACTATAAAATATTTGCTGCCGAGCTGAATCCGGTTCTGTATGAAGTCGTATGAAACCGGTTATTTTGATATGGTTCTATTACATGTTTACACTTCTCATTATCGTTATTCTAAATTGTAGATTGAAACGGTATTTTTGTTGATAACTGTAAAAACTATGTTTTAAAGATGAGACTATATAATATTTAAATCAGGTCGTTAAAATATTGTCTATCAATGTGAAATCTAAAAAAAAAAAAATCAGGCTGTGTCTAAAATTTACATTTTTATTGAATATTTTATTCAATCATTTAATAATTATATTACATCGTAAATAATTCATGATTAATCAAGGGAATATTTATAAAAATTATATTATCTTAAAAATCAAGGTATTCGAAAAAAAAAACCATTACACGAGTTGTTGCTCTTGCTACCGTTGTTGAATTAAATGCGTGTTTAAAATTTTGGCAATTATTTTTGGGACACCCTGTGGCCAGCAGAGTCTCTTGGTTTTGCTTAGTTGGATTTCTCCGAGATCTCAAATGTCGCGATATTAAGAAAATCCACTAAATGCTCATTTTCTAAATAACTCAACCGTACATTTTCGAAGATAAAGCTTCAAACAGAAGATGTCTAAAATAATGAGTGAATTAAGATTAGAAAATAAAAAATATAGATTACCATTTAAGAAAAAGTTGTCCTTCGAATTGTGGTTTTTATGAAAATAATATTCTTTCATCCCTAGTAAATGCGACAACTTGAAATATTTTTTTATATAACAAGTTCAGTGTATATTTATAACGTTTGGTTTTTTAATTGTTCTCTTCCAACAAAATTTAGGCACAATAAAATAATTTTTTATATTCTCATTGCATTCAGTTTTATTTTCACTAAAATTATTAGTAATTCCCTTGAACAAGGATACTGAGCTTACCATTCTGTAGAACGTTATTTATCATTTTTTTAATGTTTCACATCTACATAAGATTAATCGTGTTGTCTTAGAAGATCCGTCAGAAGATCACAACAGAGACGGCAGGCAATTCGTGGTAAGAAGCCCAACTCTGCCTGTTTACAATCCATTTCTCGTACCCCAAATATGGAACAATGTAAATGTCAACAACCGGCAAGCAACAACAGGTCCCTGCTTCACCAGCAAGGGTGTCTTGGGAAAATGTACCTCCTTCAGACAGTGCTACCCTTATTTCAAAATGCCGGAAGTGAGCAACTTCGACAATTGGGTTCTGGGAATGTACGATACTTGTAGCTACTTTACTTCTCAAGGGCGACAGGTCGGTATTCAAAATATTTATTTTTATTTTGTTTTAATGAAAATCAAATCGTATATAGGTATAAGGTGTACAGACACATAGTGGGTACTAGATCACAATTCGTGGATATATAAATAAAAATATTAGACGACTTTTAAAGTCTCTGTTCTAAAATTCCAGGACTCATCACAAATTTTGCACCAAGACATTTTTAAGTGGTCATTCTATACTCATCTAGATTTGCCCTGTCTGCTACTACACCATGTACAGTTCGTCATGAAACGCCATGTATTATGACTTATGAGTAACCCAATTTTTAGATGTTCGGGGTTTGTTGCGCAACATCTCCAAAGCCAACTAGTCCTGCTGACTCGGCCTCTACAGAGGAGCCAACAGTAGAGCAAGCAGAAGGCCAAAACGAGCTGTCGAAAAAACCTTATTACCCTAGCTGGCCCCCACCACTTCCAACCCACCCTCCAGACCACACAATACCCCCACTACCCACTCATCCACCTTCCCCAGGGTTCCCCACTCAATCACCCGGTGTTTGGCCACCAACCATTAAACCCATAACAACTAAACCTCCCAAAAAACCCGCAACTACCAAGCCCTCTTATAAACCGCCGAGTGCTAAACCGCCTACAGTCGCCATACCTGTAACTGGTGGTTCTTGTGGTGCCAAAAACGGATATCAGGACCAGGAAAGGATTGTTGGAGGTCATAACGCCGATGTTAACGAATGGCCTTGGATTGCTGCGTTGTTCAATGGAGGAAGGCAGTTTTGTGGAGGTTCTTTGATTGACAATATCCATATTTTGTCAGCTGCTCACTGCGTTGCTCAGTAAGTGCAATTAAATTATTATATGGCTTCGCCCAGTTAGTCCAAAAATGTATTTTATGTAGTCACGATTATTTCGTAAAATGCCGATTTATTTTTTTTTCAAATCGTTTAAAATTGCCGCCACTTCACCAATTAAAACAATGAACATTTCGTATTCCCTAAACATTGTTGTGTTGGCAGTTCAGAGAAAACCATTGGCTACAGAGGAGTAAAAATAACACATTTCTCATCATAGTACATAAAAAAAATACACATCCCTATGCAAAAACGTGTTAAAAATACAAATATTTTAGAGATGCCAAACCCTAAACTTGGTAATATGACAGCTGACGTTGACGAGATATGTAATGCAGCACTAGAATTTTATTACGTCTTTTGTTTCATTGGTTGTTCCAATCAAAACGAATAACTTTACGTCTTGAGTTTTTAAATTTTAGGAATTTTTGTAAATACCAAGTAAAAAAAGTGTGTAAGACATATGCCACTTTATTTATATTTTTTTAAGAATATGATACAATTATTTAAAATGTTTTACTTCACAACAATAAATTAATGATCCTTCTATATTTCTATTTGCCCATTTCTCATTTAATATTATAAAAATGTACTAGTTTTCATAGATATACAACAAAATTAGGCTATATTTCTTTAAAATGACCAAAGTGATTACAAATTTATATGTATTTAGGCCAGGAAAATAAGCTGGGAAATGACCATTTCGCGACTTTTTGTTTCGGCAAGCTGAATTTATCACTATAGATGTTAAATATTATGTACAATAACATATTAGTTTCCACAGTCATAAAAATGGGGGGAAGATTGTTTACAGGGTGGTTAGTTGTATAATTTTTACCTAAATTCACGTTTTTCGCTTATAACTTTCTTCCGTTCATATCCACGAGAAAACAGTAAAGTACTTTTTTTTTCGTCTTCAAAAGACCTACAAAACTATCCCCCGAGCGTCAAAAAATATTGATTAGATCAAAAGTTATAAACAGGAGAAGTTTATTTATGACTTTTGAATTAAACATTTACAAACTGCGTTATTATTACCAGAACGTTTTGGCATCGCATCCTCTTATTCCTTATCACTGTCTTATTAGACAGTGAGTTATTACTCACACGAAATCTGGAATCGGTAAGTTGAATAGTTTACAAGTTATGGCCTTATAAACAAATTAACTAATTATTAGTCTGGACGATCCCGAGGATCTTCCACAATCGCACTGATTTTTTTTCATGGTAGATTTCATAATAATACATTGAAATCTATAATTTTTTTTTAATTTCAAATTTGCAACCTGGAATTTTTTTTATTTTTTAGCCATAGTTACAAAATGAAATATACAACGTACGAGCGTGATATAGTTATATATTATTACATATTCGGAAAGCTTATGAAAAGAGCTTGAAGTTAAAAAAAAATTGTCAAGATTTGTTGAAAAACAACGGAGTTACAGACTGTCAAAGTAGACGGGCTATTGTTAAACAAATTAGGTTGGTAGGGGCAAAAAAAAATACTGTCATAACCGGCAACTGAAGTACTTTCCCAGACAAACATATTTTATTTGTGGAAGTATGTTAAGTGCACAAGAAATATTGTCAAAAGTCAGTGGGTCGCTTGATTTTCGGCAAGCCGTGGTGCGGCGGAAGGGTGGGGGAAGCGAACGACAGCGAGTCCGAAGAAAATGACGATAAAATTCTTAGTCCTGCCGTTAAATAAGCGAAATTCGCTTGAAAATAATATATTTGACAGTCTGTAACTCCGTTGTTTTCAACGAATCTTGACGATTTTTTTTAACTTAAGGCTCTTTTCATAAGCTTTCCGAATATGTAATAATATATAACTATATCTCGTTCGTATATTTCAGTTTGCAACTAATGCTAAAAAAATTTTAAAAAATCCAGGTTGCAAATTTGAAATTAAAAAAAAAATGTTAGATTTCAATGTATTATTTTGCAAGCTACTATGAAAAAGTCAGTGCGATTGTGGAAGATCCTCGAGATCGTCCAGACTTATAATTAGTTAATTTGTTTATAAGGCCATAACTAGTAAAATATTCAACTTACTGATTCTAGATTTCGTGTGAGTTATTAGACAGTGATAAGGAATGAGAAGATGCGATGCCAAAACGTTCTGGTAATAAGATATGCAGGGTGTATCATTGAAAACTTTGCACTCGGGCTTATTTTGAACTACGTTCCAAAATATTAAAATTGCCATCACACGTCCATTTTGTTTTCGAGGGGGACACATTTTAGCGTTAAATAGAGACTTGCCAGAACAACCCCCTTCGCGGGGGCGCATTCAACTTAATCTTAAATGGCACTCCAGGTCGAGTAACACCTCATTCGAAAGTGTTTTTAATTCTGGTTGTCATCATGTAATTTTTTTTCAATTTTAGTTCATCTGTTGTTGAAAAAAAAATTTTACTTATGCTTAGAAATAAAAGACAATTTTGTATTAATCATTTAATTAATTGTTCAAAATGCCAAAGGGAAAACTATAAAAAGTTACAATTTATTTTCACTGTAAAACCTGTTTAAAAATTAAAGGTAAATAAAATTGGTCATAATCATTTAATTAATTGTTCAAAATGTTCGCCTCCCACTTCCATGCAATAATAAAACCGTTGTTCAACATTTCGACGAACACTGTTAAGAATTTCGGGGGTAATTAGGTAGCATTCTTCAATGATACGCCCGCTGCCTGAGTTCTTCTAGAGACTGCAGCTGAGTGGCATAAATTTTAGACTTTAAATGTCCCCATAAAAAGAAATCGAGTCGTGTCAGATCAGGTGATCTGGGTGGCCACTCAATAGGTCCGCGGCGACCTATCCATTGATTTGGAAACATTTCATTTAAAAACTGTCGAACTGCAACTGTAAAATGTGGAGGTGCGCCATCTTGTTGCAATCAAACATTGTCTTCTAAAATGTTGTCATTATTTTACATAGTTTCAACAATCATTGGATAAATGTAGTTATTCAAAAGCTCAAGGTACATATCCCCATTAAGATTTCCGGGCAGAAAATATGGTCCAATAATCTTATTTCCGAGAATTCCTGCCCACACATTAAGTTTTTCCGGATGTTGAGTGTGTTTCTCTCTAAATAATGTCGCATTGGTGTCACTCCAATAACGGCAGTTATGACGTTTCACCAAGCCATTCAGATAAAAAGTGCATTCGTCGGAAAAACATTGAACAATTAAAAAATTTTGATCGTTTGCCAATCGGTAAGTCATCTCTTCCGCAAACTGCAAACGACGGTCAGGATCGTCTTCATTCAGTGCTTGAACTAATTGTAGTTTATAAGGGTGGTATTTATAAGCTTTTAAAATGCGTTGACAACGTGTGCTAGAAACTCCCGAAATTTCAGGTAGCTTACGAATGCTCAAATTATGATCCGCTTCCACATGACCAAGAACGGCAATTTCGGTAGCCTCATTTCTAACAGGGTTTCGAAATTGTGTTTTTTTATTTTCCACTGGTCCTATTTCACAGAACTTTTGAACCAAACTGGCGACGTAAACATCGGAGGTGTGTTTATTTGGGTGACGCTGATTAAAAATTCTTGCCGTAAGCCGTGCATTCATTGTTTTTAAAATAGAGAGAAATTATTTCAATCCTTTCGTCTTCCGAATAAGTCATTTTTAGAATTAATAATTTTACTAAACACACTTCTACTAAACACTTTTCTTTGAGAACTAAATAGCGACTAAAAGATAAATAAATTGGTAAATTTGTTATCAGTACCAATTTTTTTTCATTATTCAAAATAGCTTTTATCTGTAAACTGTTTTTACAGTGAAAATAAATTGAAACTTTTTATAGTTTTCCCTTTGGCATTTTGAACAATTAATTAAATGATTAATACAAAATTGTCTTTTATTTCTTAACATAAGTAATTTTTTTTTTCAACAACAGATGAACTAAAATTGAAAAAAATTACATGATGACAACCAGAATTAAAAACACTTTCGAATGAGGTTTCACTCGACTTAGAGTGCCATTTAAGATTCTAAAGTTGAATGCGCCCCGCGAAGGGGGTTGTTCTGGCGAGTCTGTATTTAACGCTAAAATGTGTCCCCCTCGAAAACAAAATGGACGTTTCACGGCAATTTTAATATTTTGGAACGTAGTTCGAAATAAGCCGGGTGCAAAGTTTTCAGTGGTACACCCTGTATTCAAATTCAAAAGTCATAAATAAAATTCTTCTGTTTATAACTTTTGATTTAATCAATATTTTTTGACGGTCGGGGGCTAGTTTTGTAGGTCTTTTGAAGACGAAAAAAAAGTACTTTACTGTTTTCTCGTGGAAATGAACGGAAAAAAGTTATAAGCGAAAAACGTGAATTTACGTAAAAATTATACAATTGACCACCCTGTAAACAATCTTCCCCCACTGTGGAAACTAATATGTTATTGTACATAATATTTAGCATCTGTAGTGATAAATTCAGCTTTCCGAAACAAAAAGTCGCGTCCAACTCTATATTTCCTGGCCTATTAATAAATAATAAAAGCACTACCTTGCAAATTATATATTTTTGTTATAATCAAAATTCACTATTAAATTGAGAATTTATACTAAATTTCACATTTCACATCCCAGGGAAGACATGACAAAAAAATAGGAGGGAACTGTTCCTTTGACTTTCCCTTGTACACACATACCATTGTCCTTTGGAAGTATGTAATTTGCAATACGCTTAGCTTGTAATGATGGTTGCATAAAACCTACCATAGCTTTTAAACTATATTTATAAATATTTATGACGCCCTTAATCCGAAATATACAGGATACAAGATAGATGTTACTAAAATCGTTGGTTAAATTTTAATGACAACAAATAACAAATATCTACAGTGTGTTCTACTTTCAGGACTTTTTTATTTGCTGACCGAAACGATATTTTATGTTGTTAGATATACTTTATGAAAGCGCGTCCAGAAGTTGTTTAAAATCCAGGGCTAACTGCGACCAATAACGGCTTTTTAAGGAAAAAATTGCAATGTATTTCTATCTGAAACATATACAGGGTGTTCCTAAATAAGTGTCGCAACGGAAAACTGTAAATTCCTCTTGAAAAGAGAAACATTTTTTTCCTCTTCCATTTTTCTCTCCGGGCTTTCGTTTTCGAGATACACGGTGTCAAAACCTTTTTTCAGATTTTTGCCAATATCTTAGGAACCGTTTGAACTTCAGGACTGAGCTTTTGTACACACATTACCACTATTAATAGCTACTTATTGCAAATGTTGTTAAATTTAGTTAAAATTGTTATTTATTACTATCTATCTTTTGAATTACAAAAGATTTTCGAAACGTTAGCAAAATGTTTATTTTTGTTCATAAAAAGTAATTTTTCTTGAAAACGGTTGACTTTAGAGCAATGAACCAAGAGAATTCTTTTTGTGTAAAATTCATTGGCCCTTCAGAATTTGCTGTCAAATCAAATGTCAATTTTTCCAGTGGCATAAAAGTTAGGGGGGAAAAACCCTTACGATACCTTAAAATCTCCACCACTGGCATGTTTAATGAATTCGAGAAGGGTGCGAAAAAGTTGCTATAGTGGTTATGCGTGTACAAAAACTCAGTCCTGTAGTTCAAATGGTTCCTAAGAAATTGGCAAAAAATTAAAAAAAAAATGAAAGTTTTGACACCGTGTATCTTGAAAACAAAAGCCCGGAGAGAAAAATGTAAGAGGAAAAGAATGCTACTTTTTTCAAGAGGAATTTACAGTGTTCCGTTGCGACACTTATTTAGGAACACCCTGTATGTACCATTATTTGTAGTGCCAGTACAGTAATAAAATACTTGTAATACCGAAAAATGTCTGGAATAAAAGCTGCATCAAATCAATTTCTTCACTTTTTAAAAAATTTTTTGGAATATTTTCTTAAAAAACTGCTTCTCTAATTTTTGCATTATGGAGGAAGTCGTAGTTGGCCATGACTTTTAATTATAAAATGATTGGCACATGTTTCCGACGCACCATCACAATGTCTATCTAATAAAAAAAATGTTATAATCTGGCAATAAATAAAGAAGTTCTTATGCAGTGGAAAAATACGTACGTTCCAAAGTATTATTAATTTTGCTTTTGAAATTGAATATCTTGCCCCCTTAACATTTTTAAATTAGAAAATCGTATTTTTTAAAAATTAATTCTGTGTCTCAAAGATAAAGCGTTTTGTCAAAGGATTTAGTTACATCCTGTACATGCAAACTCGAAAATCGTGTATTAGAGGGTTGATTAAGCTTATGCTTCTCAGTCCATTTGAAAATTACCATTATCGTAATCGGAAATACATGTTTTTTTAGTATGAGCTCATGGGATGTCGCTAGACTGACTGTAAAGTTGGGAGACCACAACATCAGAACGAACTCTGAAATAAACCACGTTGAAAAAAGAGTGAAAAGAGTCGTTCGGCATAGAGGATTCGACTCAAGGACACTGGTAAACAAGTTGCTTTCATTTCCCAACCAGTTAAATTTTATTATGTTCCTTTGTTTTAACAGTACAACGACATCGCCATTCTGACATTGGATAGTCCTGTGGACTTCACACAACAAATTAGGCCTGTTTGTTTACCCAATGGCGGCAACGATCACTCTGGAAAGACAGCAACGGTGATTGGTTGGGGAAGTTTGAGAGAGAGTAAGCAATTAAAAATATGTATAGATTTAATAAATAAGACCGAGAGAGTTTGGGATTTATGTAAATAAAAAAGCCGTTCCTGGAGTCATCTAGAAAGTGAGATGGAACAAAAAATTTTCTACTCATAATTTCAGTGAAAGGACCAATTATACAGGGTGTCCCTAAAGGTGCGAAGCCTCCGATAACCTTTCAGCATTGGGTTTTATCAAAAAAAGTTTTAAAAAAAATTGACGACCTTGAGTTTAAATTTTAAGGTCAAGCCGAGGTCACCCTGAAAAAATTATTCTTATTTTTGTCCAACTATCATCAAATTTTAATTATTAACCTAATGTGTTAAATTTCAAAATTGTTAACACTGAGGAATTTTTTGCGACAAATAAATTTGACCTTCAAATTACCTACAAGGACATCCTTTTTCTTATCTCTTATTCTATTTGATATTAAGTTGACCCTAGTTTGACGATGCAACTTGTGGTGAAGGTCAAATCCAAGGTCAGCATTTAATTTGTCATTGAATTATTATTATTAGTTATTCAGATAAAAATGAGCTTGATTTCCAAATGACTTGCAGGGAGAGGAAATATTTTTTGACTCTAAATGGACGTAAAATTTTACTCTTTATGGATTGCTGGTATAAAAATAGGATGTTACATGTAATATTTTCAACTCGACCTTGGTTTGACCTTGAAACTTTGGTTCAAGGACAAATCCAAGGTCACCATGATATTGATTTCTTAATATTCTTCAACTTCGGGGTTCGGATCCTTTTAGGACAATTACAATAACAACTTCACATGTCAAGAAAGCCTTTTCTTAGGCTATTTAATTCTCTAGCGTTTTTTGGATGGATTATAGTTTGCTTAATAACCTGTACAAATTTGAAGGATGACCTCATCACAAGTTCCCATACATCGAGCAGAAACAACTATTCCTGATTCTTTTTAACTTACCTCATGTTTAGGTGGTCCTCAACCCGCTATTTTGCAAGAAGTCAACATACCTATTTGGAGCAACAGGGATTGCAAGCTGAAGTACGGACCTGCAGCTCCAGGGGGTATTGTGGAACATATGCTGTGTGCTGGACAAGCCAACAGAGACTCTTGTAGTGTAAGTATACAGTATCATTATATTACGTATCACTTGCATTGCTACCATTAAGATAAAAATATAGACAGTATTTGATTTGTGCTTAACCAGGACCGCAGCACGGATGCCCGTCATAGAAAAAAGTTGTCCAATAGCAGCATAAATTGATAGATAATAGTAATTTTTTTTATTAATATACAAATAATGAGTATTATAATTCCCGTATACAGGGCCGTATTAACTCGTTTTCGAGGTCATATTTTTTTGCTAATATCTCTGTTATGCGTATAGTCTGAAAAATATGAAATTTAGGTGTAGTGTTATTCTACAGGGTGTTTTAGAAACAAGTGCCATGAATTTAAAAGCTGCTAGAACATCAAATAATAATGATTCCTCGTAGGTCATGGGTCTATTATATTTTGTTTTTGAAGTACATCTACAGGGTGGGCCATTAGTGTGAGAAAGTAAAATAATAATAATCATAATAATAATAATAATAATAATAATAATATTGTCTTTATTAGCAGGATACATATTTATAACGAATATTTAGGCAACCTGGTGGCGCCTTTCGATTTTACTCGCTCTTCCATGTAACTACCAGAAAAATAAATAATTGGAAATACATAGTATAACAAAAAAATAACTAAAAACTAACGTAACTAAATAAAAACTAATACAACATCAGCTAATACAACTACATAGTTCTTTGTGATAAAATGAATTGTTTTAGACGTTTGCGGAAAGATGATACAGTGGGGGCATTTTTAATATTAATATCGATGCTATTATACAGCTTTGCGGCATTGTAGAAAAAAAGATTTTGAATACTCGGCATAACTAACTCCCTTGTTATTCATAATACAGAAAAAAAGTTTATACAGGGTGGTCCCGAGGTAATGGGCCAAAATTCATGGGTAGATTCCCGAAGCAAAAATATGGCGATTTAACCGAACTTACCTTAGTACAAAAGTTGATAGTTAAAGAGATACAGGGTGTTAAATGTCAAATATTATTTTAGTTTATTTCCATTTATTTCTTAATAAATGCAAATATCTACACAAAATTTTGGGGTTTGGGGTTCTTTGGATAGAGGAATTGAAATTTGTTCACATTTTGGTTATAGTTCATAGGGGGCGCCAGCTGCCGTAGATCGAAGGTGCTGGAAACGACATAACTTTTTTGTACTTTAAGGTATCTCATCTTTGGTATCAAATTCTTATTTTCCAACTTTTTTTACATAAAAAAGGTGAACTTTATGAAAGTAGCTGTCTCGCACCGTTTCCGAGATATTTGGCTTTGAAACTTCCAATGCTAATAGTTGAAATAATTAAAATAATTTAGAAATGTCAAAAACAAAGATTTATTTAGAATTAAAAATTATGAACAGTAAAATAGTAAACATTAGTAAAAAAATATGCCTTTTTGACAATAATTGCTCAAAATGTCCACCTCTAACTTCAATACATTTATCAACACGTTTATTAAAAGATTATCTTATTTTAAAGTATAAATCCTTAATGCGAAATGACTTTGCAGCATTTAAAACCTGTTACTAAAGTTCTTCTCAAGTGTTTATAGTTTCTCCACAAACAACTGATTTCATGTAACTCCAAAAACGAAGCATTCTATCTCACATTTAAGTATACGAGTATACAATTTAATGTGTAAACTAAGATACGAATAATACTTAATAGAAATTAGCATACAAATGACAGCAATAAAACAAGTGGAAGACGTCAATTATTTGATTTTCGTCCAAATCCTACTTAAGAAACTTTACCGCTAAATTAATAATACCTGTAGGTAGGTACTTAATTGTAATTTAATGCAACAGCATTGGAAGTTTCAAAGCCAAATATCTTGAAAACGGTGCGAGATAGCTACTTTAATAAAGTATACATTTTTTGTGTAAAAAAAGTTATGTCGTTTTTAACACATTCAATTAACTGCAGCTAGCGCCCTCTATGAACTTTAACCAAAATGTGAACAGATTTCAATTCCTCTACTCAAAGAACTCCAATCCTCAAAATATTGTGAGGATATTTGCATTTGTTAAGGAATAAATTAAAGAAAACTGAAATAATATTTTACATCTATTACCCTGTATCTCTTTAACTATCAACTTTTGGACTAAGGTAAGTTCGGCTAAATTACAATATTTTTACTTGGGGAATCTACCCATGAATTTTGGCCCATTACCTCGGGACCACTCTGTATAATATAAGTTTATATAAATTGTACAGAATCAAAAAACCTAAACGACAAAGTTAATTTGAAACATACAGGGCGATTAGAAAAAACGGGACACGCCAAAGATTACATTTTTTAAATTGTATATTTTTAAACATGAATTTCTGAGAAAATTCTATGAAGTTTTATTAACGTTCAACTACTAACACTTGGAGCAAAAATATTTGACAGAGTTATAGACAAAGACTCCTATATTAGCTAATATCGATATTTTATACAGTGCATTTTTATAATAATCATTTTTAGAAAGTTCAAACTTGATTTTCTAAAATTTTTCAAATGGAACACCCTGTATTTTATTGTTCTATTTTATTCACATATCAGTCCACTTCAACTTTNAGACTCCTATATTAGCTAATATCGATATTTTATACAGTGCATTTTTATTATAATAATCATTTTTAGAAAGTTCAAACTTGATTTTCTAAAATTTTTCAAATGGAACACCCTGTATTTTATTGTTCTATTTTATTCACATATCAGTCCACTTCAATTTTTATTAAGTAGGTGTGTTCTACACCTAAAGTTGTTAGTTTTTAGAATATAGTAACATTTCTGGAAAAACCTAATTTTTATTATTTTCGGTCGCACGAAATGGCTTTGGAAAAGACTGGCACATTGTGTCAACTTGTAAGTTCATAATTTATCATTCCATTTTTAGTTAATTTTATTATTTAATATTTATTTGTGGCATTCTATAAAATAATAAAAATTAAGTTCTTTCAGAAATGTTGCTATATCTTATAACTAAGAATTTTAGATATGGAACATGCTTAATAAAAGTTGAAGTGGATCGATATGTGAATAAAATAGAATAATAAAATACAGGATGTTCCATTTGAAAATTTTAGAAAATCAAGTCTAAACTTTCTAAAAATTATCGTATTATAAAAAAAGCCCTGTACAAAATATCGATATTAGCTAATATAGGAGCCTTTGTTTAACATTTGCCTATAACTCTGTCTAATTATTTTGTTCCAAGTGTTAGTAGCTGAAAGTTAATACTTCTTTGAGGTCATGGTTTTTCCAAAATTCGAAGAACTTTCTACCTTTCTACATAACTTGGCAACCCCGCACTAAAATGATAAACTGTTTATATTGCCATGTATAGATTTTTCTCTAAAATCCATATGTTTAAAAATATACAGGGTGTTCCATTTAAAAAATGTAATCTTTGGCGTGTCCCGTTTTTACTCATCGCCCTGTATGTTTCAAATCAATTTTGTAGTTTAGTTTTCTTGATTCGGTACAACTTTTATATAAACTTTTTTTCTGTATTATGAGTAGCAAGAGAGTTATTTTATTTTCTCACACTAATGGCCCACCCTGTATATCTGCTAAAAAGCAACTTATAAAATACAAGATTTTTTTATATTCACTATTAATATTTACATGGAAAATTTTTATTTTCCGGGCTATATGGAGACGTAAAAACTGAGGACAAATAATTTCCATACATTTTCCAGGGAAACATTCATTTAAATTTTTTATTTTTATAACTTATTTTAGAAATAATAAGAAAAGTCCAATTTCTCACAATCCTTTTATTAACAAAAAAATAAAAATAAAAATAAAAAGACTGAGAAATTGAATTTTTCTTCTTATTTCTAAAATAAGTTATAATGGAAAACTCACATTTATCAATTTTGAACTTATTATTTTTGTTTAGGGTGACAGTGGCGGTCCTCTGATGGTTAACAACGGCAAATGGACTCAAGTGGGTATTGTATCCTGGGGTATAGGTTGCGGCAAAGGACAGTATCCTGGAGTGTACACCAGGGTTGAAAAATTCCTACCCTGGATCTACAAGAATCTTAAATAATAGCCTTATCGAAGTTACTTTTAGGAACGTGCGGATATAAATTTGCCCTATGTGAAACATACTTCTGCCATACTAAATTGTAAACGATTTTAAGTAATTATTTATTATTCGGTACTGTAATTTAATAAATTATTTTTTATATTTCCAAGCCGCAGTTTTATTTAGCCCATTGTAAAAGTGAACAATAAAGTCGCTTCCCTTTATTTTTATATACAGGGTGTTACTTCTAATGGGGGTCACATTTATACGGAAGCTATATTTGACCTTCAGCAACACATATTTTAAGTTAGTTTTCTTGAATATCGTCGTGACAACTTTTTTAAATCTAGTTTTCGAAATATTTATACCCCGCCACTGGACAAGCTGGTGTAACTTCAAACAACCGCGCGCTAGCTGCGAGCGCATACAGCAAATGGTATTCATTGTTGTCAAATTTAGTCTTTCTTGATTTGTATACATACTTTTTCATAATGTTCAAACAGAAATTTAACAATGAAGACACACAAACACAGTAAACACTGAAATAAATAAGTTTATAATACTAGACAAAATTCACTATAAATATTAAATTTTTTCTTCAGGTAATTAATTTGCTAATATTAAATTGTATTCTCATTTATCTGGAACCAGACAGAGATGTAAGACGCTTCAGTTTTTTCGGGCTGTCCTTGTCCCAAAGCAATCAAATATGTCACATGTATAAAGTGGGTACTTGAGATCCAAATGAATACATATTTTTCCATGTTGACAATTTGTTACATCATGTTTAATGCACTTCCATAAAAAGGGCTATAAAACTTTTTTCTTTTAACAGATTGCGCTTTAAGAGCCGGTATCTTTGATATTTCAAGATTATCGGACATGCGTTTGTATAAATATGATTAATAATCCTGTGAAAATGAAATAGTGTCGACATTTGGCAAAAGACAATTAATCATAAAAATATTTAACAATTTACATCAGATTTATTTAAAAAAACTGTTTTCGATTCGCTTAAATTTTTTGTCCTATTTCTTTCCCACCTTGGCTGTAACACGTTTGTTTTAATCCAATATCTCCAAGCTTCATTTGTTTTCATGGCAATCTATCCCGAGCCAATTAAAAAGAAGGAATGATAATTGGTATAAATGAACTGTTGTATATATTTCTAAGTCAATCGGAACAGCGTGGTGAAATATGATCTACTACCGCGCAACACTATCAATGCTCCTTTATTTTGGTTTACTGTTAAGTCGTTGGTAGGCGTGCCCTATTCAAATTTCTCATCTAGTCATCATCATTGCTATATGACAACGTGTAGAATTGCTTTTCCTTGAATATTGTTTACATCGTTTGGGAATACCTAACGCCTTGAAAAAACGCAGATTCTAGGATTGGAAATAGAACTTATTTAATTGAGAAATTATCTCGTAAATGACGTTTTTTTTAGCAGCAAGTGCACAGCATACAGGAAAGCATTTTACTGATTTATTGTACCCTCTCAATTACAGCAGACTAGCATTTCTTAGTAATAAATATAGCAATAAAAAGCTTCTGTTTAGTGTTGTTTTTAAAAAATATTAGAAGACGTTATTGCAGCTGAAATCGGGGCAAAATATTTACTTTAAATTTAACATTTATGTATAGAGGATGTCCCAGAAACAAGTGGCAAAATTTTTACAAGGGACTTTACTGATTTTTTATGAACACATGAATTAACATGCTTGTCGACTGATACCTACTGTTCGAACTTTTGTAATTAAAGACTGGATTTGGTCGTTTTTGAGAGGGACAGGAGAAATGTAAATTTGTCATGATCTGTCAATAAAATCCGGCAAATATTTACAAACAAGTTTATTAAGTATTAAATAATTTAAAATCTGTCGATAAAACATCCATGTTTTATGGACATACAATAATATCGCTTCTTTCTATAAATACAAACTAAAAAACATAAACAGAATGGTAGTGTAAATATCTAATTATAAACCGACTATAATTATAATATATATAAAATTCTTAAGGTGTAGGTAAATGTATACACAAAGGGGCCATCTGGCGAGGCTTGACTAAAATAGATATATTATACACAGTTTAGAGGAAATTTCTACAAATGAAATAACGTTAAAAGAAACATACATACTCCCGTGCGGTGAGTAGCTGACTGTAGCGTACAAAATAAATTTCGAAATGGGCACAATTTTACAAAAATTGATATTTCTATACATAGTGCTCTACAGTCTTACAGCGTAAGTACAAAAATTTGCAGGAACGCTAATGCCGTTATCATAATTTTTTACTACAAATTCAGCTAAAATATGTCATTTTAATGTCACAATACTATTAATATTTTAACTATTTAATACCGTGGGAGAAAACTGATAGAACACTCCGTGTATCAAATATCTTATTCTGTTAATTTTATATAGGGTGTTCGTTTTTAAACGTACCAACTTTAACAGTTGATGGAGGACTTCAATTTGGACAAAAAAATTCATGTCAAAGTACGTTGTAAATCGCTTCTTAACCGAGATCCAGGATGTCAAATATAGGTATTTTTTTTTTTACTTTTTTCGCGATTTCTAAAAAATACTCAGTACTAACGAAACCAAGTTGGGTACGTCTGGTGGCAACATAATGTTCCTTAAAAAATGACATACAAACTATTCTTTACAACTATCACTGGCGTGGTAGACGGGTAGTGCCTCTTTATTAAAAAATTGCTACAAGCCTATGGGTTTTTTGAAATTTTGTGACATTTTTCAAAACGCTGTTCAATTATAAACGAAAAGCTGTTCTTGCAAAATGTCACGAAATTAAAAAAGCTCAGACGTAGAAATTCTATTTAAGAAAGGTCACTGACTACCCGTCTACCACGCCACTGGTGGTTGCAGTGAATCGTTTATAAATAATTTCTAAAGGACACATACCCAATTCGGTTTCGTTAATACTTAGAAAACAAATTAAATTCAACACCTTGTATCTCGGTTGGGAACCGATGTTGACATGAACTTTGTTGTTAAAAACACCCTGTATATACAATTGAATGCCCAAACCCTACAAGCGGCAGAAATTCTAAATGGGTGCCGTGTCAGTTGCAATGTTGATTTTAAAATCAGTTCATTTATTTTCTAGTTACCTCTGGAAAACGTCTGCGCTCCGCCGCTGTGCTAAATGGCCTGCTCCTGTTTCAGTTCCAAAGCCCACACGTGCTGAGGCCAACCTGTACGCCCTTTTGCTTTCCTTGAGGTGCCCAGGTCTTCCTGTTTACAGTGATTATATAAACAACTCTTCCGATATAAGGTGACAGTACTGGATCTGGTACTTCGGGATGATATTTAACTCAAAGTACCAGACGAAGTACCCTTAAGTATTCAAAGTACGGTTTCATCAATAAAGTATGCGTAATCGGTAATGTTTGAAAGTATTTATTTGTTGTAATTCTTAAACGGTTTTTCTTTTTAGGTATTTTTAATGTACAGTGTGGCAAAATATCCAGGCAATAAAACCGTTTTAATAATCGACTTTTGAAGAATTTGCTTTTTGCTAAAAAAATTATCCCAAACAGCCTACATATAAGCAGCCTCATGATTTTCTGTATCTGTCAAATTTGACAGATTCTTTACACAAGCTTGTGGTACCCTTCTATATGTCGCAATAAATTGGCCAATGCGTGGGTCGAATTTAAATTTACCACTTTTAGATTAAAAATTCAAAGTATTACAGAGGTCTAGCTGTATACCCCGTACAACTAAAAATATTTTTGGTGTCATCAAGCAAATCTATCTAAACCATTTTTTTTCTAGAAATAATTGCAACGGATCTTGAACGTATAAATGACGTTAAAATGTCAGCATATTTTCTTTTTGACTATACTGCTTGTAATTTATAGTTTTATGAGAGTACCTACTTAAAACTTAATGATGTTTTAAATGCCCTCATAATTTCAATCAATCGACAGATCTTTTTACAACTGTGCAGTGTAATTTATTGGGAAATCTACAGGGTGATTCAAAAAACCGCTGACAGACTTCTAGAGCAGGTAATACATGAAAAATTAAGACGAAAAGTCTCAATAAGCATAGGGTCGCAAATGCCTCCTTAACGAGATACAGGGCGTTAAAGTTTCTGTAAAATTAAACGTTGTCTGCAAGAGTTCCAAAATGTCTATTTCAAATTTGCGTAGTTAGCACCTTAAGGCCAATGTTTGATGTATTGCTCAAAATTTTATGAGCAGCAATGCGTAGAGACCGGTTCAACGTGACCCTTTTTTAAAAATATTTTCTTCGCCACCGCTAATTTTGTCAAACGGGCACTATTTTCGTGTAAAGTGTTCAATTGTATATCGAATTGGTCTCTTGCAAAATTTTGATTAAAGCAACCATTTTTAAGAAAAACACGTTTGTAGAAACTTTGTAAATCCAATTTTATTTTCATTCATTTTAGTTTCGCATAGTAGGCTTGCACTATTCAAAATAAAATTAAACATCGGCTGTCACTAATGTCACTAATAAGTGTACAAGTGAGTAGCTTATAAGCTTCTTTTTATAATTTTTACGGTTATTTAAATTACTTCAGCTACTACACTATTTTCAATAACAGTATGAATTACGAATATTCACTTGAAAATATGACAGATATGCATGGGCTAGCGAATTTTGTTTCCCGTGATGCAGTTAGGCGGTACAGAGAAATATTTCCTGCACGAAGAACACCAAATCGGCAAATGTTTGATAATATCGATAGAAGATTAAGAGAAACGGGTGAATTAAAAGCAACAAAAATGAATTCTGGACGACGGCGTTATGCTAGAACTCCGGAATCTGAGGAAATGGTCCTGACAGCAATAGAAAATAATATGTTAAATACCCGACAAATTTGTTGAAATTTGAACCTATCACAGTCATCTGTTTGCAGAACACTTCGCGGACAACAATTGCACCCTTATCACTTTCAACGTGTTCAACATTTACTACCTCAAGATTACCCACCAAGACTAGAGTGGTCACGATGGCTGCTTGGCAGGCTTGCAGAGAATCCTAATTTTTCCGCGAAAATCTTATTCACAGATGAAGCATCGTTTACGAGGCTAGGAATAATTTACTTTCACAATAATCATTTATGAAGCGACGAAAATCCTCACGTCATTCGAATAACAAATTTTCAGCACGAGTTTTCAATTAACGTTCATGCTGGCATTATTGGCGACACGCTCATTGGTCCTTTTAGGCTACCAAATAGACTAGATGGCCGGTTTTACCTTAATTTTTTAATGAATGATTTGAACAGCTTGTTAGATGAAGTACCACTGGATGTGAGGAGGAGCCTTTGGTTCCATTATTACGGCGCTCCGGCACATTTCGCTCGATAAGTAAGAGATTATTTAAATATGACATACCCTAGACCCTAGACGGTGGAATGGTCGTCCAGTGGCCCGCCCGTTCACCGGACTTAAATCCTCTGGATCCTTATTTAAGGTCATGTTAAGGAGCTGATTTACGTAACTCCAGTAAATTCGATTGATGAATTATGACAAAGAATTCAACAAGCCTTTCAAACAATTCGTAACACGCCCGGGATTTTTGAAAGAATAAGAAGATTCTTAGCTCGGAGGGTAGAAACGTGTGTCGAATCACAAGGTGGTCACTTCCAGCACCTACTCTGATATTTTACATTATTTCCAGTTATACAATTTTTATCATTATCATTCACCCTTAAATTTGTTGTTTATTGTTTACGTTATTTCATTCTGACAAAATTAGTTGAAACCTAAATTACTCAAAAACTGTAGCTTTAATCAAAATTTTGCGAGACCAATTCGATAGACAATTGAACACTTTACACGAAAATAGTGCCCGTTTGACAAAATTAGCAGTGGCGTAGAAAATATTTTTAAAAAAGGGTCACGTTGATCCCGTCTCTACTCTCTAGGACACTGCTGCTCATAAAATTTTGAGCAGTACTTCAAACATTGGTCTTAAGGTGCTAACGACGCATAGCAAATTTGAAATAGAAATGTTCAGGCATTTTGGAATTATTGCAGACAATGTTTAATTTTACAGAAACTTTGACGCCCTGTATCTCGTTAAGGAGGCATTTGCGACCCTATGTTTATTAAGACTTTTCGTCTTAATTCTGCATGTATTATCTTGTCTAGAAGTCTGTCTGCGGTTTTTTGAATCACCTTGTATATGGTGTGGCACTGAAGAACAAAAATCAAACTAAAAGAAAACAATTTATAAAGCGAGTCTTAAATTTAATTGTCTATATAGATATCTCTGTACATCCACCTAACTGACCAGATTTAGTGTTTAAGAATCTAAGAATCTCACAAATGTTATTTTCAAATAAATTTATCTCCAAAACACGAACGCCAGGCACAGCCTGTGCACGACCGTAATTGAATTACAAAAATTCAGGGAATCTCCTCTAATCAATTAGATGCAACGGCGCCCATTCGTTTAACCTTTTCAATTATCTTACTCTAGCGATAATGATGGTATCAGCGCCGCCCCCTAATATATTTGAGTAGTTTGCAGTGTCGGGACACTCGCCAGACCGCAGAGACATAAATGATAGAAAGGGAGGCCCAAAAATTCGACGCCGTTCACGCGTTAGAGGCTATTATTCTCGCGCGTAATTGGATTACCCCACTTTCCTCGATGTGCTGTGACTTGCGGGGTCTAATGTTTTGTAAATTATGAGTTATTAAGGAAATTATACGTCAGTTTCCAAATAGAACGGTTTTGGGAGCAAATTCAGGCCTTCACATACAAAAAAAAAAACTATGAGTTGTTTCCGTTACGAACATGTCTTTTTTGGTACCGTTGGATTGGTTTTCAAGATAAATCGTGCCTCAAAACTTGTGTTCCAATATCTCTTTTCTATCAGTCATTTTGTCGGCCTGCGTAATTGAAGGGAATGGAAAGAAACTAAGATGCGTCATTGCCAGATTAAGCGATTTGTCACAAATTAAACGATTTTCCGGTTGCAAGGCATACTTGTAAAAGGATTCTAAAATCCTAATAAAAACAATATTAGCTATTCGAAAATTTTGATCACGTCTGCCAAAATAACTTTTTTAATTTATAAACCAGCAATAACTAATATCAGGAATTTCTAATCATAATTTTTTGAGCTATTTTTAATTCGTAAATAAATATAATTTTATTATAATAGATTCTAGCTATTAGCCTTGTTTGTGTCTTGTCAGTTTAGTTGATAAATCTGGCAACATTGAAGTACATAATTGCTCATAAAAAATGAAAAAGCAACAGCAATAAACTAAAGTATTCTAAAAATTACTACATTTGGCGCTTAGTGACGCCACAACGAATTTTTCTATTTTTTTTTGGGGCTCAAATGAAGATTAAAGTGAAAAAAGAAAAAGTCCCATTTTGTGATATAGGTAGTTAAAAAGTTAAAGACTATTAGCATTCAATGGTGTAATTATTTTTCTTCTTGTCAAAAGTTTTTGACAGACTTGAACATATTGTGTGGACGTGACACTATTTTTTTTATTTTTTTTTTTTTTTGATTTACTGGTCTCTAATAGTAGTCCAAGAGAATTAAACTCAAAACATTCGAGATATGGCTGTTGCTTGACGTAGATTAGATATTAGTAAAAATCGGTCAAAAATAATATACAGGGTGTCTCATAATTAGCTGCCAACCCAGAACAGGCCGATTCTATGATCAAAACTAAGTAAAAAAGTTCATATGAACATGGGTCCGGAAATGCTTCCTAAGGGCACAGGGACCCATTGAAGAGGGAGGAATGGAAATCATTTTTTTGCAATATCTCTCAATCGCGTTGTGATAAATGAATGAAATTTGGTATACACAGCTAAATTTTGATGAGCAATTTGATGGACTAATCCATTTATTTCCACAAGGTCCATTGGGGTGGGTACGGGGGGGCCCTTGGTACTTTGCGTGTGTAACTTTTTCATCTTTGACTTTTTAACAAATTGGACAGCAAATTCCGTTTTCCCGAACTGTTTTACGTTAAAAAGGTACTCTTGTTTCAAATCGTTATCTTTAACGGTTTCTGAGAAAATCGCTCTTGAATTAATCCCACTTTGGTCAATTTCATAGTAATTTAAACAAAAAAAATTTTTTTGTTTAAATTTAATCTAATTTTAATAAAAAAATAATAATAAAAAATTAAATTAAATAAAAATTAATCCTTTAAATGGAAAAGAGAGGAAAGGAAAATTATTATTATTTTTTTTTGTTTAAATTACTATGAAATTGACCAAAGTGGGATTAATTCAAGAGCGATTTTCTCAGAAACCGTTAAAGATAACGATTTGAAACAAGAGTACCTTTTTAACGTAAAACAGTTCGGGAAAACGGAATTTGCTGTCCAATTTGTTAAAAAGTCAAAGATGAAAAAGTTACACACGCAAAGTACCAAGGGCCCCCCCGTACCCACCCCAATGGACCTTGTGGAAATAAATGGATTAGTCCATCAAATTGCTCATCAAAATTTAGCTGTGTATACCAAATTTCATTCATTTATCACAACGCGATTGAGAGATATTGCAAAAAAATGATTTCCATTCCTTCCTCTTCAATGGGTTCCTGTGCCCTTAGGAAGCATTTCCGGACCCATGTTCATATGAACTTTTTTACTTAGGTTTGATCATAAAATCGACCTGTACAAAGTTGGCAGCTAATTATGAGACACCCTGTATACAATGAAAATACAAGTTTGCGCCAAGAAAAAAAGTGTTATTTGCAGGAAAAATTAAAAACTGCAAAAACACTCAAAAATGACGAGTTTTTTCTCACATTCTCCAATATAACTTCATAAATATGCAGTTAACAGAAAAAACTATCACTGATAAAATTGTTTGTTATGAAATCTGCTACAAGATAGAATTGTTTTGATATGAAAACGAAATCCCAAAACCCGATTCAAATCCGTCTAATGGTTTTGGTATGAGACAATTTGTTACTAAATTTCAGCGCGAAATGTTATTTTTTTGCGTCAGTGCTGGGGTTAAAGTTAGGCATTTTAATTCACTGATTTTTTTACACATACTTAGACTCTTTAACAATCATATAGAATCGTTAATTATAATCAATTTTCTTTTTTTAATAATTTTTAGAGCGATTTTAAAAGTTCGAAAAATTTTGACTATAAACAAATACTTTCGTGAAGCGGTTCTGCGGTTTGAAGAATATACCAAAGTACTAAAAAACAGTTCTTGGAAAGGCGCTTAATTTGAAAAAAAGAACTTTCAAATCGGTCGTATCAGTTCCGATATATCGAGTGTCAAAGTCAAAAAGCGCTAGCTGCAAAACTATGCATAATGTAACAACAAAAATTGAATTTGGTAGGTTATTTAAGAACTTTTCGGATGTGCTTTCATAAATATTATCGCACGTGTGCTTTTTATATGAAAATTCAATGAATATCGCCAAGTCGACCATTTGAGCCGCAAAACCAGGGGGAGGGGATGAATTATAGAAATTGAAATCGCGCGTTCAAAAAGAGCGCGCTCTCTTCGGCGTTCAATATCTCGGCTTCTACTGCTCCGATTTTCTTTTTAAATCGATATAGCAAAATGAGATGAAGTCAATTATCAAGATTTCATTAAAATATTATAAAGCCTTATCGGCCTATTACGACTACTTAAAATTTCACACATTTCATTGTTATACTCAATATTCATGTAAATAATAATACCGATGGTAGGACATACATAATCCACTGTTAATAGGTACTAGTTTTAATAATTACGTGGTAATAATGTTTAAAATCTTGAAATTTTTATTAAAAACTTATGTAATTTTTTTTAAATATACAGATAATTATTTATTTATGTTTATAAAACGTGTTTATTATCGTAGTTTTTCACTTTTTTACAACATCGCTGCTGTTTTCACTTATAATATCAGCATTTGAATAAGTATCGTTTTCCATTATTTTCAAATCGGTATTTAACTAATTGTAAGTAGAAACCACTGTCAAATTAACAGCAAATGATGACTTATGATATATTGCTTAATTTGATTTGTTTGCTAGCAATTTCACAGCCATCCTCACAAGAAATAGGATCATTTTATTTATCACAAAAGCCGTCAAAAGCAGAAAAATTAAAATATAGGTATAGGGAGGTATAATATGGATAGACACAGAGTAAATTTCTACAACAGATTTTGATTAAATATACAGAAAAAAACAAGTTTTGACGTTTCGGTCAAGCAAATTCTACTATAAATATAAAATTGAAATAGGTTGAAGATCATTAGACCATTAGAGATAGATATAGGAAAGCTTTATAGAAGTCCTTTAAAAATACGCGTAGAATCCAAATATGCAAAAATATAAAGGATGTTCCATTTATAATAAGCAAGTATGGGGCGACTACCGGTATAACCGGAAGTGCTACAACAATAGCATTCTTTAATTTAAATGCTCCGAAACCACCAGGTCCCAAATTTTAAAAATTCAAATCGAAGTAGTCTTCGAAATATTCTAATGGGCCGTCACCGTATGACAGGTTACTAAGGGAAGAAATTTTTGAGAGCGAAAACAGCAACTATGCTGTAAAAAAGCGGAATACTTTAAAGTAATTATCTGCATTTTTTTCTATATTATATGCATACAATAAATAAATAACATATTAAATAAAAATTTCAAGATTAAACATTATTACCAAGTAATTATTAAAACTAATACCTATTAACAGTAGATTATGTATATGCTGCCATCGATTGAACGCTTCAAATCACCTCGATTTTCATCACTTCCTTACGTTGTCTTGACTATCTTGCAATTCTATTTTGTAGCAAATTTCATAACAAATAATTTCATCAATAATAGTTTTTTCTGTAAACTACATATTTAAGAAGTTATATTGGAAAATGTGAGAAAAAACACGTAATTTTTTAGTATTTTTGCAGTTTTTAACTTTTCCTGCAAATAGTACAACTTTTTTCCTGGCGCAAACTTATATTTTCATTGCATATATTATTTTCGACAGATTTTTACTAATATCTAAACTACGTCAAGCAACAGCCATGTCAATATGTAATTCTCCTGGACTATAGAATGTTATATGTTCAGTACCGAGGATTTAGGTCAATTGAAGTGTGTGCAACGTCAGGTGTTCTTCAAGGTTCAGACTTAGGGCCTCTCGTGTTTAATTATTTATAAATGACACCAGCCTGAATATTAACAGCGATACTTAGATGTACGCTTACTAACTCATGGAAAAAACTAACTATTTACCAATTAATATCAAAAAAAGAAATTTAAAAAAAGGAATTCGAATACAGTCTATTTACATGAAGGTGAAAAAATGCTACCAGGTAATTTTGAGGCCAAAATATATCTTAGTTCAAAGTTGCTGCATTTGTAAAATACAAGTTAAAAATAAAATATTTTTGTCCTTAATTGAGGAATCAATGAACCAATTATCTTCAAATTTGACAAGAGATACAGCAACATGTTATTATTATCGCAACATATCCAGTTTTTTTAATAGTACCGGTCAAAATTATGGTAAAGGAATTTACGGGTGTGTATAGAAAAGTGTTCCTAAAACATTTTTTTTAATCAGACAATTTTTGCACATAGGAAGTAAACTACATTAATCCTGTCTGTCATGCAGCGAAAGCTAATAAAAACAAATTAGCAGAGACGGAAAACAGGGGCTTACCGAATTGACACTTTTAGGCGACGATTGCCCAGGGCAGTCATTTACTTGTGCGGGGTTACTGGTCGATTTCCTGGAAATCGTCCCCAGTTCAGCTTTAAAACCTCCCGCTGTATCGTCCGTTTCCAGTGCCCTGGTTAAGTACGAGATGTAGGACGTAGCTAACCTCAGAGTTTTTATCTAAAACAAAAAGAAACACATATTTGAATGGGTGGTTCTGCCACATCGAAAATAAATAGAAATTTTAAATAAATAATCAATCTCACACTGAGAATATTAGTTTTCTATAAAAGGTGTCCAGTGAATGTCTACTCGAGAATTAATAATTTGACGTCAGCAATCTTTCCTTAAGGTGTGTAGTTAGTGATCACCCTGTACTATGGCTCATTTTGCGAAAACCTGTTAATAATAGTGATAGTTCCGGTTTTGCTAGGATCGTCCAAGAATACAATCCTGTCTTGGCATAATATGTGCAAATTTTTCGGAGTACATATGTAAGTCAAACGTAAACAATGCCGTATCGTGTCGATGGTGCGCATCGAAATACTCCTAAATGTGTTCACTAGACTTGCCCAAAAAATTCGACTATTTTTTATTAAAGATATATCGAGAATATCATTCAGAATGACGAAAAATAATATCGTGAGAGTTTGAGCCCTTTAAGAGGTCTATCATCGCTAGTTTCGATTTTCTATTCCTGATCCCATTTTTGCGTCAAAACTGCCAAACCATCGAGGAAAAAAGTATCTACATATATTTTTGAAGGAAATTGAATGCCCTACAAAAAATGTTTTTTCAATTTGACTTTTTAACTTTGGAATTTTGTAAGTAACGAATAAATTAATAACGAGCGTTCTAATAAAAACGTGGTTGAAGTTGGCTCTGACACATTGGACGTAGGGAGTAGCTTATAGCGACCAACTTAACCTCATTTCTCAACGAGCTGTATAGCAGCTGTCAGTTTCAATAACGTTAATGACTGTATAACTTTATTTTAAAGAATAATCGTGATAACAATAACAAACAATTAAAGGAGAACAAACGCAAATCTTTTTTTAACACTGTGTGACAGGTACCGACTGATACTCCCACCATTTGTGATGAAACACGTACAGAAGTTCTTGGCGCATTTTCCATTATTTGTTGGACATTTTCTTTTAATTCTTCAGTCCGCTTTTTAGGTCGGCCGCTTCCTTCTTTTCTTGTTACACTGCCCGTTTCACGAAAAACATTAACACAACGCTGAACTGCACTTTGAAAAATTTTGTACTCAACAACGCCGGGAAATTGATTTTGAAATTCTATGAAACATTCCTCAATAGAATACTTACTTCCATATTCCATCAATCTTGCGTCCATTTCTAAAGTAGGACTCTATGATAAACACTTTTTGTTCTTGAGAAAACACCATTTTAAACGCTTTTTAAAACGAAAATATTCAAATTGATAGCGGCGATATAGCGCTTTGACAGATGACGTTTAAGTTCATTTGCTATACGCTACGCCCTACGTCCAAATTTTCAGAACCAACTTGACCACGTTTTTATTTGAACGCTCGTTATCCGAAAAAGAACAATACAGATTTTCAAAGGAAATTTAATGCTCTACAAAAAAGGTCTCTTAACATTTTTACATAAATTTACTCCTTAAAAAGTTATTCACGATTGAAGTTGAAGTAAAAATTAAATTTTTGTTTTTTCGTTTTAGACCCAATTTTTTTCACTCAATGGAACAAATTGATATTATACATCATCGACAATTATTATTCAAATAAATTAATCACCAAAAATATCCAAAATTCATAATATATTCAAATAATTTTCAATAGTAAAACTACATAACTGTTATTTTTTAAATTATTATTAGACAGTAACGTTCTCGTAGAAAAAATTAAGTGAGAATAAATTTGAATATTTTATGAATTTTGGATATTTTTGGTGATTAATTAATAGAATAATAATTATCGATGATGTATAATATCAATTTGTTCCATTGAGTAAAAAAAATTGGGTCCAAAACGAAAAAAACAAAAATTTAATTTTTACTTCAACTTCAATCGTGAATAACTTTTGAAGGGGCAAATTTATGCAAAAATGTTAAGAGACCTTTTTTGTAAAGTATTAAATTTCCTTTGAAAATCTGTATTGTTCTTTTTCAGATATTAATTTGTTCATTATTTACAAAATTCCAAAGTTAAAAAGTCGAATTGAAAAAACATATCAATTTTCAAGGTTTGATTACATTTACCGAAAATTTCAATCAGACCTTTTTTGTAGCCCATTCAATTTCCCTTCAAAAATACATGTAGATAATTTTTTTTACCTCGATGGTTTGGCAGTTTTGATGCAAAAATGGGATCAGGAATAAAAAATCGAAACTAGCGATGATAGGCCTCTTAAAACGAATATTAACGACTCAAATTCTCACGATATTTTTTTCGTCATTCTGAATGATATTCTCGATATATATTTAAAAAAAAATAGTCGATTTTTTTGGCCCAGTCTAGTGTTCACTTGCCAAATATTAGTCAAAGCTATACAAACGGCATATCTTTTAGACTATTCAACAAGTGAATATTGTTCGGGATGTGATGGTAATTAAAAACACATCAAAGAAAACGAATCTGCCCGAATATACGACCACCACTATCAACACTAAGCTAGTACCATTATGACTTGGTGTTTACTTTCGTAGAACAAAATAATGTTGTAAATGTACACTAGGTGAATTAATTGATATGATATTAGTATACGGGGAGTGTCACCAAAATGCAGCCATGGCATCGCGATTATATGCCCAGCGCTTCTCTTGTTCAAGGAATAGGATACATACAGGAAAACCATGGTGGACATTCTAACAGTATTTTATAAGATCAACTAACCTTTGACAATTTTGTATCGGCGGGAACGTTTGGAATGCAGTCCCTTAAATCCGCGTACGCGTTGTTGATGGACTGTGTTCGTCTTCGCTCTTTCTTGTTCGCCGTCGATCTTCGCTTTACTACCCGTACGAATGGCCCCCCTGTGTGTATGTGTGTCGTTACATCCGAGTCTGCGTTTATCGAGGGATATGCTGAAAATCAATAGGAGTCAAATCAGGACAATATGTAAGTTAAAGAAGGGACGACTCTACTTACTTGATCTGTACGGTGTGTATCTGTTTGGTGTTGAACAGCCTACTTGTGTGTATATTTGGTAGGTGCCTCCTATGGAATTCGGTATGGTGTTTGGGGATGGGGAATCTGACCTGGAGGGGCTGTTCGACCAGAAGCTTGTGTCGTCGCCGCCTACCGTGCTGCCACCATCTGCAACAAATGGTTAGGAACTTTAAAAACCGATTTTTTTACAAAAATAATGTGATTCTTGAGTAATTTTAAGAGAAAAACAGGAATTTGCTTAAACAAATCTAACAGGTTACGGCAATGATAAAATTCAACACCCTGTGTCTCGACAGTCAGTGGCTTTAAATCCTTGGCTGTTAAGACTTTTTGAAATAAAACTAGCCACGATATAAACGTTTCCTTTTACTTTATTCTAAAAGTATTAAGCTAATTCAAATAAATTCAAATTTTTATTGAATTACGCCAAGCTAGTATAGTCTTTCCGAAGACAGTTGAACATGTAATGAAAACGCCTAGCAATAAAATTTAATGAGTTCCATAGGCACCACTAAAAATGTTTTCTGCTAAAGGTAAAAAATAATATTAATTTGTATACAGGGTATCCGGAAATGATGAACAAAAAATTTAGAGGATAATTCTAGACCGAAAATAAATCCTACCTCTTTCTATAACATTTTTTCCAAAACTGATTATTAACGGAGTTACAGGGTGTTAAAGTTAAATTTTATTTGCAGTTTTTTTGCAATACCTTTTGCCACACTTATAATATTTTGACGAAATTTCGTATATGGGGGTTTTTCGGGATAAGGATTATAAATTTGCCCACCGTTTTTACTCATTTTGTAGAGGGCTTTTGACTGAATATTTCTCCTAACCTTTTGACATAAAAAAGGTATACTTTATTTGTTTCGATAAATCTAACCGATTTCGAGAAAAACGCTAAAATAACAATGCTTGCATATGATGAATACGAAATCATTTTAATTTATTTTCTACATTAAACATAGCATGCTTTGGAAACAAGCGATTAGTTGCCTTGGAAACAAGTTTGTGGAGAATTAGTTTTGACAGATAGTAATTTTGTACAAGTTCTTTTGTAGTAATTGTTATCATAAAAATAATAATAAAAATGAACAACAATTACTCTAACGTGGAGTTGCGGGACATGCATTATTATTACGGTTTAGCTGCTGGCAATGCTCTTGCAGCACGACGTTTGTATCGCGAAGGATTTCCAAATAGAAACCTACCCCAATCGCGAATGTTCAGTACTATTCATCGAAGACTGGGAGAATTTGGATCGTTCAAAACCAAAATTTTTGATGTAGGTCGACAACGGAATACTAGAACAGCAGAAGCAAAAGCTCGTATTTTGAATTAGATAGAGAATAATCCCAATGTATAAGAAAAACTGCTATTTAGGAGGGCATTCCAAAGAGCTCCGTACATGAAACAATACGCGTACCACTACCAAAAGGTGCAAGCCTTATCTGCCGTAGATCCTGCTGCTCGTGTGAATTTCTGCAATACAATTAGAATACTTCATAATGGTAACCAAAATTTTGCTCGTAATATCCTTTTCACGGACGAAGCTGGATTTGGCCATGATGGCTTAATAAACCTCCACAATGAGCATTTTTGGTCTGATGAGAATCCTAATTTATCAATAGAGCGTGGTTATCAAAATAAGTTTTCCGTCAAGGTGTGGGCCGGTATTGTAGGGGACTACTTAATTGGGCCACATTTCTTTCCACAAAGACTCAATGGTGAAGTTTACTTGGATTTTTTAAGAAACCACTTACCTATTCTATTGGAAGATGTACCACTCGGAATAAGAAATGCAACGTGGCTGCTTCAAGATGGCGCGCCACCGCATTTTAATTTAGTGGCCAGATAATTCTTAAATGAAACTTTTCCTGAAAGGTGGATAGGACGCAGTGGTTTTGTACAGTGGGCCCCTAGATCCCCTGACTTAAACCCAATCGATTTCTTTTTTTGGGGTTATCTGAAGACGCTTGTATACAGGACACCTGTGAATAGCGTCGATGAACTGAGAGAAAGAATTGTTGATAATTGTGAGGTAATTAAGCAAAAGGAAGGAATATTCCATAGAGTTCGTCGGAATTTTTTAAGAAGAATTAATTTATGCATTGAAGAGGAAGGACGTCACTTTAAACCTTTGATTTGAATGTTTAATTTGTATTTGTATTGTTCTAGTAACTTATGTATTTTAACCTTATGATTTTGTTAGTAAACCATTCTTTATTTGTTGAGGACGTTATTTTTTATTATTTATCATTAACCACCATCATTTGTTGTTATCATTAACAAATTTTCACAAAAATTACTATCTGTCAAAACCAATTCTCCACAAACTTGTTTCCAAGGCAACTAAGCGCTTGTTTTCAAAGCATGCTATGTTTAATGTAGAAAATAAATTAAAATGATTTCGTATTTATCACATGCAAGCAATGTTATTTTAGCGTCTTTCTCGAAAACAGTTAGATTTATCGAAACAAAGCATACCTTTTTTATGTCAAAAGGTTAGGAAAACAAAAATATTCAGTCAAATTTCGCATAAAGTGTAGCACAAAAAAGTTGGAACCATTCAAATCAAAATAAAGGCTCGTATGTGGCGCCCTCTACAAAATGCGAAAAAACGGTGGGCAAATTTATAATCCTCATCCCAAAAAACCCCCATATGTGGCAAAAGGTATTGTAAAAAAACTGCAAATAAAATTTAACTTTAACACCCTGTAACTCCGGTAACAATCAGTTTTGGAAAAAATGTTATAGAAAGAGGTAGGATTTATTTTCGGTCTAGAATTGTCCCCTGAATTTTTTGCTCATCATTTCCGGACACCCTGTATAATGTGTAGAAAATTTCTATTATATGTTCATTTGGCTCAAACAATTTTATTATATTGATGGTAAATTTTAGTTATAACATATCAAAAAACATTTACATTTTCATTAAATTATATTATACTGCTAGCCAAGAACCAACGTGAAAGTATGACCATATCCAGGAAAGGATGAGAAAAGGTTGTTAGTTTAGATTAGAAAAGTTATTAAATAAAAATAATCAACAATAAAGTAATTCCGCACTGCTACACTGCTAGCCAATTTGCCAACAACTGAAATTTATGGCCCAATTGTCCAGTGCGGCTGTGTTTGTGCGGCGTTTGCGCGCGCAACTTGTCTATACATTTCTACCACCTCCACGTTTAGTTCGACCAGACCTGTATATGGGTACGGCTAAATAAATATGTGCACAAGTTTTTCAAATATTTCAATGCCGAGTGTATGTGTAGCGACCGAACCTGGTACATACTGCCTAGCTCTTTGGTCTTCAATTGAGATCGGAAAGACTGTACATACTCGTTAAACAATTAATAAACAAAATAATATAGTCGGAGCATATTTAAAAACATATACTTTCTGAAATTATGCCAAAGATTTAGAAAACGCATCGTATAAAACGATTTTTGATAAACTCGTTCTAAAAACGATAATTCTATCCGCGGATAATTGGGTTTTTGAATCGTTTCAGTCTCGATTTAATGAAGATACAGGTACACCTACCTATTGTAGGTTTATTTTCATTAACCGCTCCCGAAATAGCTTCTTACAAGATTTACTGGAGGAGTTCATAAAATATCATAAACAAACACACTCCGCGATAATAAAATCTTTAAGACAGTCTGGCTCGTAAAAATCCTTTCTTTATTTGCGATTGTGCGCATTGATGTACAGGAAGTAAGTTGCTCCCACTGGTTTTTACTTTTTGGGTAGGTTACAAATTCAACAAAATGATAATTTAATACTGAATAACGTTAGACTCCTTATTAGTCCATATTATAAAACAGTAAATCATAATTGTAGTTATAAAAATTTATTTTCGAAATTATGGCGGAGTTGCCGGTGATATAAAGTACTAAAATTTTTCATTATGCCCCAAATGAAGTGTGGAAACAGAAATATTCCTTTGTAGTAGCTTGTTTTTGCTTGATTAATCTTTGTCAAGGGTGTCAAGGGTAATAATGGAACAGCAAGAATCCGCGATATTTCTTTGAATGATTCTATGTTTTTTTGTAAAAATACTTGATAATTATTATGATTATTTATGTGTTAATATCGAACAATTTTAACAAACTTTTCTGTTAAATAGATTTCTTGAAAACATGTTGGAGACATCCTATTCACTTTATAATCCAAAACAACGTCAAATTGGGACCAACTTTTAATGCAAAAATAAGAGAAGTGCTATTAAGGATTTCTGGAGAAAATATTCTTCGATGGGGGAGAGAAAAATGTTGATTTTATTTTCTTTCACAAACAGATAAAACAGAAAAGTAACCACCCCTACAAATGTCTTGCGTATCTTTTTTTCTATCGCCAATACCGATACTTAAAACCTCTTATATGTTTTTCATAAATGTAATAATTTTTTAACAAAAAAATAAAATAAACCACAGTACCTACACACAGGATTTTGACAACTATTGGAAAATTTTTAATTACCTCACATGAATCAATAAGGCGTTTTTAAATTTTTTAATATCTTGCACAGGTGTCTTGTACACTTAAACATTTAAATGACCTCATAACAAAAATCTATAGAATTTAAATCGGGTGTTCTAGAAGGCCAAAATCGATTCCTGACATCAGGGAAACTGAGAGCCAATTAAGTGATTTCCAATTCCAATCCACACATTCAAAGAAAACTGTTATTGACGGTGAATTTCGCCTGAAGCATGTAGATTTTTCTCTACACATCTGTGGTTATTAGGGTAATCAATTCTCTTGAAAAATAGGCTTCGTCTGCAAACAAGATCTGTGCCAAAAAATTAGGATTTTGCCCAGTCCTTTCCTGGTAATCTCGGTAAAAGAATTTGAAGTAGAAAAAGTTTAGCCGTTTACTAACAAGAACATTAATGAAAAGTAGAATCAGAAATTAGTTAACAACTTACTAATTTCTGTGGGTCGTTGGCGGAGATAGTTGCTAAAATAAATAAAATTAGTCAGTGTAAAGCCTCTCAGTGCTATCGCATTACATATTTTCGTAAAACAAATACGAGATTGGGAGATACATGACATAGAAATAATAAAATGAACCAACCATTTATTTATTTATCTCGGTATGCGCATATCATAAAAACCGAGTCCCCTGGGCTTTCCCATGAAGATTAAAACCCGTATTTATTTATTAAACAATAATTAATATAATACTGAATCACTTTTCGACACTAGACACCCTTTTTGTGTGACAATCTGTCTATAATAAGACTACCAAGTTCAGTATACTGTTTAAATTTTATATACTTGACACATTTGTCGAGCAAATGTAAGCGACGCTTTATGAAATTATAACAAAAATAAACACACGGTGTATCTTATGAAATGTCACTCTTTGCTACATCCAGCATACATTATAATAAATGCTCGAGCAACCCATATTCAAACAAGGAATAACATAATAAAATACGTGATTGTAATAGAATGGCGAGGGAGAATATTTATTTTTCCAGACAGTTTTTTTCTTTAACGCACTATATAAAAATTTATATTGACATGGAGTAGACCATGAAAAGAGTTTTAAATATAAGGACATAGAAGTTTTGTTGATATACCTACAGGGCGTTTAAATCGGAAGTATCTTCATAGTTTTTCAGATATTTCGAAAAATGCGTGATTTTCAGATTTGGATTTTATCGTTTCTTGGGTTTCTTAGAAACTTTTTTAAGGCATTTCTGCAATTCTATTCGAAAATGGAATCAATACTTATTAACATTATAATGCAGCATAATATTATCTTGCTTTCATAAATCTGCAAAATATGAAATATCAATAATCTCGATTAAAATTTTTTGAATACTGCTTTTATATACAGTTTTTGCAATTACTATCTTTCAGAATCTTTCTTAAGTTATTAAAATAAAGAAATCCCAACGAAGCTAAAATTTATATTAGAACAGAAGCTACAAAACTTGAGGAAAAATGTAATTCCAGGTGTCAATTTTAAGAATGTTTTAAATCCTTAAAAATTTAAAATATTTATTGTTTCCAAAAATGTCTTTGAGTACATGCTTAGAGCAACAGCATATATGCACTTGTAGACTTTTAAACAGTGACATACGATAATTTAGTATTTTAAAATATGTATTTTCTGTTCTATGTTCATTTTATAGAATTATTTATTTTTTTTTAATTATTCGCCTTAGTGTTACTCATATCGTGAATTAATTAAATTTGTCTGGTTTATTAACAGTTATTTGTTCTATATTTAATATATTTTATTTCGGATATTTGAAATAACTAATTTGCTTGCCCAATATTGAGTAACATTTTAATAATACAAAATGATAATGGTTTTATTTATATTATTGAGGTAATTTAAAGTAATTTTAGCAAATTTCACATTCAGGCACATTAAATTTAATAAAATTGTTAACAGATAAGGTTAAATGTAAGCTTGTGCTGCTAGATATCAAATATCTAGGTATAGCGGAAAAATAACTCCATTTCCTCTAAAAGTTAGTTTTAAATATCGGATACGTATTCTTTCAATAGTATCTACTATTTTGACAGATTATTTCTTGATTTAAATAATTACTAATAATAAGTTTCTCTGTGTATTCGTTTCTAGATATACGCACATTTGAAGAGAATTTATGAAAATTTTTATAATCAAATTGAATAATTTTAAAAATAAATATGCAATAAGCGTTTTAAAAAAGTATAGTATCAATCAGCTATTTTTTGGGTTTTATTCAATTTATCATTTGGCTTTCAAAACACTAATATGAATGATGAACTACTGCGTATGTAAATTTTTACACTTGTTATCTTCTTCTGCCAATCCTAGCAGGATAACTAATATATTCCAGGAAATGGGACTTCTATTTTCGACAATAATTTAAGCGTTTTCATTTTTTTAAAATAAATAAGTGTCCCGGCACACTAATCACCACTTATTTATGCAAAAAATCGATGTTCCAAGATGTGCGATGATTTGGGAGGAAACGTGGAATCTTACCAGAAATATAGTGGTAACTGTGTCCAGGATAGCCGTATTGAAACACGTCCTGGTGATGATCCTGAGGAGAGTTATTATAGGACATTTTGGAAAAAAAAAAGAAAATCACACACTCCCGGCCCAACTTTCGATTCGAATTTGAAATGAACACCAACACCAATTAGGAAAGTAACCACTTTATAAACCCGTGGCATTAGAAGACTAAGCTTTTGACTTTTGCGGTTGAACTAATTTTGGATTAAAGGCGGAGCTTTCTGAGGGCATCCAGCATTGCTCGCTCGCAGGGATATGGGAGGAACCCTGTGGAGCCCCTCCTACGTTAATACATAAAATCAATATTTAGGCAGATCAATTCGACAGGGAAAAATAAGACATCCTGTTATAATTTTGACATACGTCAATTTTAAGAATATATATGACTGGAGCTCTTTTATAAACAATTTAAAAAACATAAATATGCAAAGTATAAATTTGTCGCTCATACTTTTTACATATTTAGGTACTAAATATTTTATTTCATTCGAAATGTTGTTTACTTGCTTAAACATTTTTGTCGAAATCTACTGTGTGGTTCAAGTCAGTAATATGTAATAATAGTTCTGGATAAGTAACTGTTACAGATTTTTTAATGTAAAGTATAATTTTTATTGTCCCCGGGTAGAATATTTATGCAAAAAGTGTCACTTTGTTCGCTAGTGAAAATTTTGTCTGATGAAGAATACAGTCCAAGAAACACATATCACGTTTATTAGCCGCTTAAAACTGTTTAAAATCGTATAATATTTGTCTAAATTTACTTGTGATAGTATGAAATCAGGTAGAAAATAGTAAACATCCCACAAACACAGATTATTTAGAACAAGTAAGTATATTATTATCTCAGGCAGACCTGGGAATATTTTGACAAAAATATACCAAATACTTAGTATTTTAAATATAAAATAGTATTTTGTATTTTGTAATTAAAGTATTTTGTTATAAACCCAAAAATATTTTATTATTTATTTCAAATGTTTAATAAACTAAGTAGGTATTTTGTATTTTAAAAAAGTATTTAAAATATTCTAAAAGTAATTTAAATACTCGAAGTATTTAAAATACCCAAAATACAACACGTGTTAAAAAAAATTATACACCTGCAAGCTTGGATTTAGCTCATGCTACTATGCATTCTGCAATGTGCGTTGTTGTATTCGTATTCTGTCTACTACCTTTTAGGTCACTATCATCACTAGTCAAGTCAGTAGTCAATCATCACAATTTCTATGAAAAATTATAATAAAAATATTATGAGTGAATTAAATATTGTGCATCTTATTAATCCAAATGAAAATGATTGTTTCCAGACTTATATCTAGTTTCTTTAAAATTTTGATGATTTTGAAATCGGGTTTGCCTTTCACATACGTTATACTTTTTAAGTCGCATCTTAAGAATTTCAGATTTATTATTTCACAAAAACATTTTAAATACTGTTGATGAATATTTTCAATATATTTAATATACAACATACTTAAAATACTATTTTATATACTACGTAATTTATATTTAAAATATTTTGCAGTAATAGTATTTTGTTTTTAAGTATTTTAAAATACTTTCGTACTAGTATTTTGAAATTTGTATTTTAAATATATTTTGATCTGATTCTGATCTCAGGACTAAATTGTTTCTCAAATATATTAGGTAAATAAATCTTTTTACAATAATTAATTCAGTTAGTAAATGTACAAATTTTTTCGTAACTAAACGTTATATATTGCAAATCTTTATCCAATTTTATACGTGTAGGTATTGTGAGAAACACCCTGTCCACATAATTGAGATATAAAATACGTTTTTCTAGGAGATAATTGATAAAATATTCGAAGAAAAAAATGTAAACATAATAATAATAATAATGATAATAATGATGATGATGATGATGATGATGATGATGATGATGATGATGATGATGATGATGATGATGATGATCATGATGATGATGATGATGATGATGATGATGATGATGATGATGATGATGATGATGATGATGATGATGATGATGATGATGATGATGATGATGATGATGATGATGATGATGATGATGATGATGATGATGATGATGATGATGATGATGATGATGATGATGATGATGATGATGATGATGATGATGATGATGATGATGATGATGATGATGATGATGATGATGATGATGATGATGATGATGATGATGATGATGATGATGATGATGATGATGATGATGATGATGATGATGATGATGATGATGATGATGATGATGATGATGATGATGATGATGATGATGATGATGATGATGATGATGATGATGATGATGATGATGATGATGATGATGATGATGATGATGATGATGATGATGATGATGATGATGATGATGATGATGATGATGATGATGATGATGATGATGATGATGATGATGATGATGATGATGATGATGATGATGATGATGATGATGATGATGATGATGATGATGATGATGATGATGATGATGATGATGATGATGATGATGATGATGATGATGATGATGATGATGATGATGATGATGATGATGATGATGATGATGATGATGATGATGATGATGATGATGATGATGATGATGATGATGATGATGATGATGATGATGATGATGATGATGATGATGATGATGATGATGATGATGATGATGATGATGATGATGATGATGATGATGATGATGATGATGATGATGATGATGATGATGATGATGATGATGATGATGATGATGATGATGATGATGATGATGATGATGATGATGATGATGATGATGATGATGATGATGATGATGATGATGATGATGATGATGATGATGATGATGATGATGATGATGATGATGATGATGATGATGATGATGATGATGATGATGATGATGATGATGATGATGATGATGATGATGATGATGATGATGATGATGATGATGATGATGATGATGATGATGATGATGATGATGATGATGATGATGATGATGATGATGATGATGATGATGATGATGATGATGATGATGATGATGATGATGATGATGATGATGATGATGATGATGATGATGATGATGATGATGATGATGATGATGATGATGNATTATTATTATTATTATTATTATTATTGTTGTTATATTATAATAATTATAATTATTTCAGAGGAAACTCTGAAATAAGTAATATAAATAAATAAACACTGTATCTCGAAAACGAAGCATATTTCGACTTACGTTTATATGAAAATTTTTTCACACAATAACTTCGGCAACCACTCCCTAAAATATTTCGCACTTATTTATTGGATTTATTTTATACCTGGTGTATTATTTACATTCATCCGTTTTATAAAAAAAATTAAACACAAATTTCCAAATTTTCATACCTCTGACCATTCCAAAATTTTTTATTGGATGTTGCTTCGCCGTCACAGCTTTCGAAATAGTTAAACTGACAATTATTCAGCAGCAATTTAATAAAATCTAGCTTCGCATTAGTGCGTAAATCAAGCAGTAGTGTGTAAATTCGGCACCAGTGCGTAAATTAGGCAGTATTATGTAAATTAGTCTCTAGTACCTGAATTAGACACTGTTGTGTAAATTGAGCACTAGTGTGTAAATTAAGCGCTATTGTGTAAATTATGAACTAATACGCTTATTATACACTAGTGCGTAAATTATACACTAGTGCATAAATTAGGCACTGTTGTGTAAGTTAGTGACTAGTGTGCAAATTAGACACTAATGCGTAGATTAGACAATAGTGCGTAAATTAGGCACTAGTGCGTAAATTAGGCACTAGTGCGTAAATAAAGCACTAGTGCGTAAATTAAGCAGTAGTCCTAGAAAGAAATACGTTACACACCCGTGCATAAAATATATTTTTTTACAATTTAATTTAAAAAACACTAGTTTAACATATTTGTTGTATAAATAACAATTTTTTAAGTTCTGCCATAGAAGTTTGTTAAAGTTATCAATATACAAAACTTTTCTCTTCATTTTTCAAACGTTCTGTGCAATATAAAGGAACAAGATATATTTTCACAACATTATTACAAAAAATATTTTATAAATATTTGGTTAAAAATAAGTCATGGGACGATATGCCGTGCAACAAGAATACCTGAATATATGTATGGGAGATAATATAGTAACGCGGAGGTACGGCAGGCGAGTTAAAGTTCACTTTAGTTGATTAGAGGCTTCTGGTTTCTATCTAGATTATGAGCCATGACTTGTGCTACGAAAGGGGAAATTCATGCTTACAGCTTCCGATTCGACATTTTTATTTAGATCATTATTAAATTATCTCCCCCTCGCTTACCGAATAGATTATTTTTGTTTTAATGTGTGTTTAGACTGCGCACTTTTTTTATCCAGGTGTATGGGTCCGCGTAATTAATGATGACCTTTATTATAAAACTGTCACCTACTTTTGAAATGAATGAAAAGCATATATCAGATATTCCGTTATTTCTACAGGATCTTCCAGTATTTCATATACAGGGCGTTTTTTTTTAAATTTTCCAGGCGGATAACTTGAAAACTAGTAGATATCTAATATGAAATGAACAATTGTCAAAAAATTACTGGTTTTCTATATATTTTAATCTGAAATTATTTTTTTGAACAACGAAAATTGTAATTTTTTGAAAATTAGTTGCAATCAAATGTGCTTTGAACTTTCTTCACATTCTAATATAACGAGCGTTCAAATAAAAACGTGGTCGAAGTTGGCTCTGACACATTGGACTGCCACATCGAAAATGAATAGAAATTTTAAATAAATAATGAATCTCACACTGAGAATATTAGTTTTCTATAAAAGGTGTCCAGTGAATGTCTACTCGAGAGTTAATAATTTGACGTCAGCAATCTTTCCTTAAGGTGTGTAGTTAGTGATCACCCTGTACTATGGCTCATTTTGCGAAAACCTGTTAATAATAGTGATAGTTCCGGTTTTGCTAGGATCGTCCAAGAATACAATCCTGTCTTGGCATAATATGTGCAAATTTTTCGGAGTACATATGTAAGTCAAACGTAAACAATGCCGTATCGTGTCGATGGTGCGCATCGAAATATTCCTAAATGTGTTTACTAGACTTGCCCAAAAAATTCGACTATTTTTTATTAAAGATATATCGAGAATATCATTCAGAATGACGAA